TTCTATTAAGAGACTCCTGTTGCTTAAGAAACCAGGTGTTAATCCCTCAAAGCAGATGACATTTTCCAACCCTGCATATTTCACAAAGCTTGAACGCATTCACAAGGAAAGAAAGTTTACATTAAGACACAAAACAGATGTTTAATAAACTTGAGTAATCCGACAGCCTTTCCAAAAGACAGCCACAAAGCAGCAGCAACTATTTTCATCAGATGCAATAAAGAGGACTTTGGTTTGGTTTTAATTAAAGATACCGGATCCTAACCTGAAGAAGAATCCTTACCTCCTGTGATATACTTTGATCTCATCTTTGATGCTAACAGGAAAGAAACAACTCTGATTTTCTATTTAGCATCAGTAGGATTCACCCAGAGGGCAGGATATGATCAGTGACAAGTATCATGTCAGTCAGGGTTAAACCTGGTCTGAGTCACCAAATCATCCCAGCATTCTAACATGAGAACCAGTCATGTCTTCAACATTACCTAGAAAGGAACAAGACTGACTCTTTCTGCTTAGGAGTAGTTTTAAAGCAGGTTACTTCTGGCACTGAAACAACTATAAAAGTAAATATAATATAAATGGCATAAACAGTAAACATTAAAGGGTTTTCTCCCCCAGAAGAAGTAGAGGCAACCATCAGCTATTTTTACTGTTCCTTAAAAACTGTATTTCTTTTTTACCTAAACTGGTTTGAATCTACAGGCGGGATCCCATTAACACAAACATAAGAAAATCTGTTATGTTTTACTACGGTTTTATGGAATCAATCCGATTCTCTTCCAACTAACTTTGATGAGACTGGTAGAAATAAAATCAGAGCAAAATCAAGCCGAACTGTACACCTCCACCCTCTCTTGTATAACATACAACCTCTATTTGGCAATGTTGGGTTTTGCAAATCTTACAGTAGAAGTGTCAACCTTTCAATATGCCCAAGATCTATCTATATATGATTGCCATTGTGTGTACAAGGGTGAAAAAAAATGTTCTTCCTCCTTCGGATTAGTCATTTTAGCTAAAGCTGCTGTCCTCTTACCTGCAGAAAGGGACTGTACTTGCTCATTCTATCATGTAGTCATAACTCAGCCAAACACCAGCTGAAACAGACTGCTGTCTTTTGTACCTCTGTGGTCTTCATTTAGAACATCTAACTAATTTTTCAGTAAATACAACCAAACTGGAAATTAGAAACAAAAAACAAGAGACAAAAATCTATTCCACGCTTGCATGCAACCCCTTCATAAAGTTAATACCATGACCAACAGCTGCCAGTGCTGAGTGATCATGAACTTTCAACTCCTGGCCTGATTTTCAGGCACTAATCACCTACAACTGCAGGTGAAGCAGCTCTTGTCTGAGAGTTCACAACAGACTTGAACTAAAAGTACAGAAATTTAGTCATAAAAAGCTGAATAAAAGGGGAATGTTATTATGCATAATTTATCTTCACATAGCAGAGCAGACAAAAAATGTTTGAAAGTATAACTGATGAATTTTATACTTTCCTTTTATGTTAAAGGCAGTAAATATGAAGTGAAAGTAATATAATCTCTTTTGTGAAAGCAGCAGTGCCTACCTTTCCCCTGACTCCCCCAAGCATCTGTATTTCCTTGAGGAGAGTCATGAAACCAGCTAGCTAGATGTAAAAGATCCAGGATTACCTATTCAAGCTTTCACTGTCATTTTGGAATATAGGAATGTTTGGAAATTCTGCAATGAAATATTGTTTGTTAACAGCAAGCAGCATATAAGATTTCTCTTATGTACCCTTTCTTTTACAATACTGAATTTGCAAAGATTGATGAAAAGGTCTTCATTGTGGCTTTGGTTTTGCAAGTCTCCCATACAAACTCTTTCCATATACTTTATGGGTTTCTTCCTGGCAAAAAAAAAAAAATCATTTACAGGCCCATATGAAGTGATGTGGATATCTTTCCTTTTTTTTTTTATTTTTATTTTTTTTGGCTTGTGAGAAGCTAATACAGTGAGCTAGACATGGTACAATTATACAGAACCAAAGCACTGACACCAAAAGAACCAACTTTCCTTTAGAAGGACAAATCTCACCAGAATTACTTCACTTTTAAATAGCCCAAAAAGCATCAGCTGGGGGGGCAATGGAAGCAGGTCATGTTTTTCTCCTGTTTTATTATATACAGAACAGACACAGAAATCTGAAGGATTTTGCTTTAATAAAAACAAGTCATTTGCATATGATAGGAGAAAGGAGATTGCCTAAATGCAAAGGTATTGAATCCTGCCTCCTGGAAGATAATTAAAAACCCCCAAACAAACAAACAAAAAACCCAAAACCTCAACAAACCAAAACACTACAAAAAACCCCAAACATACAACAACCTCAAAACAAAACAAAAACAAACCCAAGAAAAACACCACATGGATAAGATCTTCTTCCAGTTTTAGCTAACGGGGGAGGTGGGAACTTATAATAAAAGAAATGTAGGAGTAGCAAGGAAGGAGGACTAGACAGAAGGACAGTCCCAGCTACTTCACTACTTCTCTCAAATTCAGGAAGAAGTAGCACCAGTATCTGTTTCTATTTTTACACAGATTTCATGAGCAAATAATAAACTGGCATGACTTAAACTTCATAATGTCCTAAAAGACACATTACAAACAGAATAAAATTTGGTCCATTTGCTAATAGACAGAAGATGATTCAGCAAAATTCATGAATCTGTAGAAAACACAAAACCTTCTCAGTTTATGCTTGTAACATATTTGGAAGGTTATTTTCATTAACTGTGGAAGCTCAAATTTTGGAAAGAGTTGTTCAGACCTTCAATCATGCAAAAAGCCTTTAATTCTCCCCAAAGCAAGCCCACAGATGTGCTTAGACATGTATGTTTAACATCCTCTGCCCACAGCCACACTTGCTGCTCCCAAAATGCTTAATTGAAATGCTGTCACTTTCTTTTTCTGTGTATACTGCATCAATCTGGTTAAAAACAAGCAGCTTGGCAACATGGGTTTTCCAACATGAATAAATATCTCAATGTAGATGTACTAAAAGGTCTTCAGTTTTGTGAGCTACAGCTAAAAAGTTAATGCCTTTTACAGCAGACTGAAAACGATGTGTATCGCTCCGTCTGACTATGCATACCTTAAAGACAAAAGGCTTTAGGAATCTGCTCTAAGAGACTTCATAATCTAAGCATCCTGCAAATTTCAGCACAAGATTTGACTTTAAAACCAACTGGACTTGCCTTGAATTGAGGTAGTTATGACATAAAAGTTTCAGAAAATAATAATATTGAAGTGATCTGAACAGAGAGTTTAAACACCCAGGTCGTCCAGGTGTTGCTGAAGTTTAAAAACAAAAAGTAATGCTGATGTCTTCTAATGTTGAAGATAGAAAAAATACTGTTTTCTCAAACTTCCAGAAGCAAAGCTGAAGTTACACAGGTGCACTGCATCCATACGTTATTATGCTTGCTTCTAAACAATTTAATGAAAGGGATCCAATCTCAAAATGGTTCCTGCTAAGTGTTTGTTAAAAAGAATTATTAACTCTTATAAATTGCACGTCATTTCCAAAGTATGGTGAAGTAGCAGTTGTGGAGGAGGAAAAAAAAGGTTGTTTCTGGGATAGGAGGGATATTTGTAACACATAAGACAAGGAGCACAACTTTCATTAGCATTTGATAATTGAAACTAGAACGACACTTTTGAACAGCGATGATGACCTAAACACTGGTAATTTTAGTCTATGCTATGGATATTTGCTAGGCATTCTGAAGGACACATAAGCATAAAAAGCTGCTACATACATGAGCATTTCACTTGATGACAGTTCGGTTCCCACATACCTGCCTGTCCAGAGAACTTACTTTCTACTACAAAACCTGAGACCGAGCACACAGTTATAGTCAGGTCACAAACAGCAGCAGAGAGCAGACCAAATAAGCATGTGCGTGTACACGCACAAAACAGACAAACAAAAACTTATAAACAGATAAACAATAATCTTTTAAAATGAGGATTTTCCTAGTGAGAATTCCTTCATCTTTAATACAGAGATAACATTTTTTCAGTGATCACAAGTGCTTTCACAGAGCACTATACATGTAACAACTATGTATCTCGCTGATAACCCCCCACAGAAGGGAAAGCTGAGCCAAAGAAGGCATGGAAGTTACCATAGCTACATAAAATGCAGGTAAAAAAGGATGAAATTTGAACTCAGGTTTTCAGTTTCCTATTCACTGAACCCAGAGGGCTTTCAAAAATACACATTCCAGTACACTTTCATAATAGCAACAGTGTTCAACAACCTTACATCTTAATTACCTAAACATGGCATGTTAAAGTCATTAGTGGTTACCAACAGCTAGATAATGTAAAACAGAATCAGTCTTTGTATCAAAACTAATTCAAATTAACTCTTCTGATCGCACACACACAAAAGCAGTAGTGACTCTGCTTTTTTGGCAAGTACAAACCTAGATTAATGTCAATTGGGTACAGAGAAACCTTAGATGAGCTTGATTTGATTCTTTTCTTGCACTCAACGTATGTGTGAGCACTTGGTGCCTGTAAGAGTGATACAAATTAGTGAAAATTTTGATTATTTCAAATTACTATCCTAAGGATTTGTCAGAGGAAAAGAAAAAAAAAATCCACTGGATCAAGAGCAAAAGAGCACCAAGGAATCAACTGTATCAACTGTTCAGCAAGGAGAGGAAACCACTGATGTAATACTTGAAGGGAAAAAAAAAAAACCCAAGGACTTTTACTTCTTCTGAAGCTGTTCAACTAGAAACAGAATAATAACTGCAATTTACAGTTTATTTCACTGTTTAATGTTATTCTGTTGCACCATCATCTATTTAATTCTGATATAACAACCATTTTTTCTGCCACGTGAATTCATTAGCCAAAGAATCGCAGTTGAAACAAAAAGAGAACTGGTTTGAAAACACACATTTTAGAAATGCCCGAATCACCTTTAGCCACCCCAACCTCCACATTCTTACCGGAACATCAAAAGTTTCCTGTGTGTCATCCAGCATCTGGATTTTGATGGAGACGAGTTTTCCTGGAGGTGTAATAGGTGGTTTCTGTCCATGCTCCAAGGTACTGATCCCAGAATTTTCCTGAGCTCCTAACCGGGATCCTGCTGTTGGTCTCTGCTCTGTTTCACCCATGTTTAGAGAAACGCTTTTCTTCTATCTGATAAAAGAATAAGGGCAAAGAAGACTATATCACTTTTAAATAAGAGCTGTTGCACATAAGTATTATTAATATATACTTACAGCTCATAAACCATATGACCATTAACACATTAAATAATAACCATTATGATTTTTTTTTAACATCTCATATGAAGATAAGAAAATCAAGCAAACTTATACTTTTGAAGATACACAGGCTAAAACACCTGCTGGGGGTAAGGCTATTGCACAATGAGAAAATATTCCTTTTCTCCTGGAAAAAAAAACCCAAAAAACAAGACCACATTGGAAACAGAGCACAAAAGAACCCAGATTTCAATGAATTATACTGATTTTTATGTATGTATGAATCAGGCTGTTAGCAGCCACAGCCAAGAAGGGAGGATGGTGAGGAGAGGTGGGACAACTCACCACTTACTGACCATCATCCCTTCCTGGCCATATCAGTACTTCCTCCTTTGGTCCTTCCAGCCTTCTCTGGCCCTTCTGCAGCTGCCACTTTGCTTAAGGCTCTGCGAAGCAGCAAAGCCAAGGGGTACAAGATGACCCCAATTACATGACCTAAATATTTTGTTTCCTTTGGGGACCAGAGCTGCTCTAGAACCTGGAGCCCAGCCTGATCCCACTGATGGGCCAAGGACTACGAGGATGTGCTTCTGGGAAGTCTAAAAGAAGCCAGAGCAAAAACACTGGTTGGGAAAAGCAAGGGAAATCTGATTTCCCACAGAGCCCTGTGAGCAGGAGGGGAACACCAAGGAAGGCACCTTCCTTGCTATGGTGGGGGAAGGCTACACCTGCACCAGTTCGCCTGCACCACTGGAATGTGGATGTGCTTTGTATCCATGGAAAGTAATCTCAGAAACTGGCTTGCTAATTTTGTTTCCGTGCAGCTTTCGCACCACATTACACAGCACATTTCTGCTAAATAATTATTCTACCCTTAAAAGGGAGCAGAGCTACAACAGTGATTCAGTGTGATTTTTCATTAACTGGTACAACTTTGAACCTTCAAGGATCATTAGTTTTACTTGTCAAATGTTACACATCATACTGGAATTTCATTTCACTCCCCCCCCCACCCCCCCCTTTTGAAACTCTAGCTGGGTTTCTGATGAAACCTGCTGCTACTCTCTATTTATCTTTCTCGGTAATTGCATTTCCATTCTCCATGACTTTTATATCCTGATCAATGACCATTAAAAAAACATGTAGCACACTGAAAGAATGGAAATGTAACTTTCCAGCTGAACAGAGGCAGAAGAGTACTGCCAATCACTGTCTGGCTTTTACTCTCAAGGTTACAAATATTGAGAAACTTATGGGGGAAATAGGAAGCACAAGATAGCCTGTGGATAAGTGAATGCACCATCAGTTCCACAGTATATTATAAAACATGGTGCCATGTAATAAGATACCAGCTCCCTCTGCAAGGACAGAATAAAAACAGTCCTGTCTTCGGCAGGGCATACTATTTACTACACATCACTCTTCTGTGTCCTGACTAATTTGTTCCCACAGATTTTTTACACAGCAAGTGGCCTGGAGTAAAAGAATTTAAAACAGCACTTTGATTAAACTGGGGTGGGGGGGGATGTTAATGGGAATGAAAAATTAGTGATTGTGCACTTCTACATAGCAGCTCAACAGGTACAAGTGAAGAGAACAAAAAACTGCAGGCAAACTTCTGCAATGAAGCAGCACTATCCTACCCAACAGGGCTGGAGATCCTAGTGAAACCTACCCAAGCACATACCAAACACTACTGAAAGGCAAGTTTTTCCCCAGCTGGCATTGTAATCTAAAATGTAAAAGGAATAATTTAAAATAATAAAATCAATTTAACTGAATTAAATTAAAACCTTTTTATGAGACAAAAGTGCCAACAAGAAAGCTGCAGTTGGAGGCAGGAATTCCAGAAGAAAAGACTCCAAGCTCTGTACAGCAAGACTCCAGGCCTACTTCAAATAGATCTCCTTTTCATGCATGTGAAATACACGGGGACATTCATAAAGGTAACACATGCAGCCTGTCTGGAAGTGCCACAGCACACAAAGATACTGGTCCATGTCCTTATTAATTCAAAAGCTGTTTTAAGAGCTATTCTGAAGTCACCATATACCACAGACAGCACCAACACAGCAGAAAGGACCTCTGCTGTGTTACTACAGTAGTTTTTTACTAGGTACAGACATTTAAAGTGGATGAAGAAGAAATCTGTTCCTGCCATTAAATCCTAAACATAAGAATCAATCCAGTCAGTTCAAGTGATAAATTGATATTAAATAATCAATGCAAGGAATATTACAGAGCTTGAATCTTTCTATAAATGTTCTTCTGACTAAATGATCTAATGGCCCACACACACATTCAGACAGGCCAATGAACTTAGTGAAACAAGGAAAAAAGACCCAAATTTAGAAGCCAAAAAAATCGTGGAGGAAAGGTACAAGCCAAACCACTCCATATACACAGCTGAGAGGTTTTTTTTTTATTATCATAAAATCATCATCACAGAACTGTTTGGGTTGGAAGGGACCTTAAAGATCATCCAGTTCCAACCCCCCTGCCACCAGCAGGGACACCTTCCACTAGACCAGGTTGCTCAAAGCCTCATTCAGCCTGGCCTTGAACACTTCCAGGGAGGGGGCTTTATTATTTTTATTATTATGATGATTACTATTACTTTATTATTACTTTTCTATTATTATAAGTTGGTAATATAGAAACTCTTGTAACACATATATTGAACCTTTCAGTTACACTCACTTCCCTCTGAAAGCAAACATCTAAAAAGTATTTGCCACCCTGACCACATGCTTCTGTTACCTACAAAATTAAAACCAGACCTTTCATTTTTTAATCTGTATCTATATCTAAACATCAGCGTGTTTCATTGGACATTATTTAAGGTTTTTTCTGTATGACACTAGTCTCACTATGGTGCTGTCATAACATCAGCATAATATCTTTATTATGCCTTTATGTAAGAGGCCTTAAAAATTATTACAATTACCCTCTCTAAAATGATGCAGCTTGTCAGTCAAGCTGCAATGCCCTTCTCTAAACCACTTTGATCTAGAAGACAGTGAAGTAAGGTCACAGAATGCAACAGAAGACTATTAAGCAAATATTGAGCAAACCTGGGGGGATTAGAATACTTAACATCTGTTATGATGAGGAGAAGGATCAAGTGTGGATAGAGAATAGAGAATTTTAAAGACAATCTAGTAGAAAGACACCGTTGATGAACTGGGGAGGGTATTAATGGAGAAGAAAAAGCAATGGCCACCAGACTCCAACACATGCAGCTCTAAGCAAAACATAAATGGAGGTAGACAACCAGTACGGGAGCAAAGAGAGGGGCAAATAAAAAGGACTCATCTGAACTCTGAAAATTATGAGTTTCTACCTGCTTTTTTTGACAGCTGGTGAAACCCAGGGCCAAAACCACAACTCTTGTTTCTGCTGCAGATTCACTGGGTGTCAGTGCCCTTCTCAATAGTGCTGTAGCATCTGCAAAGATGGAGAGAGACTGCTGCAGAGAGCTAACCTGCATCCCAACCTGTGCGAGGGGAGAAGTCACCCGAGGCAGCTGAGCTGCCCATGGAGGAGCCTTGGAGCCTCCTGCT